TTTAATGGAGTACTTTCATTTTAGTCTAACAACAAAGTTCGAGTTTATTATAAAAATAACGAGATATTTTAAAAAAAACTTCATGTGACACGAATTTCGAATTTATTTTCACATATAGAAAAGCAGCCTCAGGGAAATGTCACATGACTACTATGCTATACAGCCGATCCCTCGTTTCAGTGGATTTTTAGTTTTATCCCTTGATTTTATTAATTAAAAAATTCTTGTTTCAATGGATTTTATATTTAAATCGTGTTTCAACGGACAACGGATTTTTTGGTAGGATTTTAGTAATAGTAATAATAATAATAATAAGTACTAATCATGTTACAATGGATTCACGTGATATAGATTTTATGAAAAAAAACCACATTACTATGTTAAGATTAATTCATTGCTAAAATAATAATATTAATATAAACTCTCAAAAATATCAATATGATTTTACATATTATTATTTAGCAATGTGAGAATTATTCATTAATCAAAAAGTTTCCATATTTCTAATTTTACACAAATAATTAAACACATATTACTAAATAATAATATTAATCAAATTTTCCATATTTCTAAATAACGATTTTACATGAATAATTAAACACACATCACTAAATAATAATATTAAATCAAATTTTCCATATTCCTAAATTGATAATAAATAAATATCTTCTAATAATTCTACATAATCAACATTTTCTTTGATTTCTTTAAATTAATAAATCTCTAAATTCTACGAAATTAAAATATCTCAACAACTATCTTCTTTTTTCCAAAAAATGTGAAACTACTTTTAATTTTCTTGAACAAAATAATATACAAGCAGATTATAATGAATTAAAAGCTTTAAAATCAATGAAAAAAATAAAATAAAATATATAGTATTCAAAATTCAATACAAACAAACATTACTAGTTTTTTCAGTAAATAATTGACTATTAATTATCATTTTAATTTTTTGTAAATTTTACTGCATTATATCAAGTATTGTATTAAGTATTATTATATTTAAATCATTGAACAAACAAAATTTTATTAAAATTTTCCTGTTGATAGATCCGTTGAAACGAGGTAGGGAAATGTAGATGTAACGTTACATTTGAATTTCGGAAGGCAATGGTAGATCTTTACTTTTTTTGATATTTTTAATAGAATGGCACGATCCTTATTTCAATAAAAAATTATAAACAACGATAATGTTTAATGTTTATTCCATCATTATAACATTTTTAATATATATTAGGCTTGTTAAAGCTTATTCTCCCGGAGCACGTTCCTTTCATGCTTCAATTCGTAATGACACAAAGCTTTATTTTTTTGGTGGTTATATTGATGATTACTCAGTAGGAGGTGATGCCTTTTATTTGGATCTAGAGGAGTCATTTAGCAGGACGCTTCCTAAATGGATAGAAAAGTCGAAAGCAAATATCGAAATAATGCATAGCTCTGTGTGTAAAACAGCCAGAGACTCATTCATATTTATTGGAGGAACTTATCGTAAAAGTGACCATATGCCAGATAAAGAAACACCATTCATTGAATATAATCATAAATATGATATATGGTCTTTACCTTATAACGCAGAACCTTTTGATTGGCGAATAAACGTTCAATGTGTTTCAGATAATGAAGGATCTGTTTATGTTTTTAGTGGATATAATCAATATAACAATATTATATACATATTGAATACAATTGATATGACTTGGTCAACAGGTCCAATAGAAAATGCACCATCGTATAGACATGGATACACATCTACTATGTTACCTGATGGTGTGATCGTATATATTGGAGGATGCAATGAATCTGGATGTATGCCAATGAATCTGGTATCATTGATTATTACGTTGAATTTTTGTATCTTTAATTTTTTTACTAGTTAATAATTTAATTTTTTTTTTTTTAGATAAATGTTTACGACACAAAAATTAATAAATGGTCTCTGATTGTAAGTTATTAAGAAAATAATTTTTATTATTGAGAAACAAATATTAATTGTTGATATCGTGTTGCTATTAGAGTGCTAGAGGCCAAGATATTGGTTCTCGTGAATACCACTCTGCAGTTTTGGGTGAGGATTTTATAAGTTTTCAAAAAATAATTAAATTATTTAATTGATTAATTATATATTTATAAATATTAAATATAGGTCCAGATGATTCTATAATTGTATTTGGTGGTCATGATTATCATGAAAAGCAATATCCATACCCTCATTTGGCAATATTAAATATTACACGTATCTCTTGTGAATGGTCGATACCAAAAGTTTCAAATAATGCCGACACACCCCCATTGCTTTATGCACATAGCGCAACATCAATCGATAAATATATGATAGTTGCATTTGGTATATTAACAATCTATTTATATGTTTTAATAATATTATGCTTTATATTTAAACTTGCTTAATTAATATATATTTATATTTAAATTGTGTAGGTTACGAAGGTTCTATATCAGGACATGAAAAATATAGCGAAGAATTATATATTTTTGACATGGAATCTCATGGCTGGGTTAATAAATTTGCTGTGCCAGAACCACCGCCACCACCGCCACCACCTCCAACTCCAACATCAACATCACCACCACCACCACCGGAACAACCCCCATATTTTTCTGTCGATCCTTATTATCGTGGATTCGTCAATCTTTTTATCATTAGATTTGTGGCGATTTCAACTTTAGTTATTGGGCACTTATATAAGACCTATAAATAATTAGCGAAGTAATGTTTATATTTTAATAGTAAATTTTATTTCTTAAATAGTTAGATTACAATAAATAAAATTTTTAAAAAATTTGTTGTGAAGTCCAATCATGTGGATCTTAATTAGTTTTTCTTCAATGCTATTTTTCTCGTGTGAATCCATCTAGAAGTCAATGGTAAATATTTTCAATTCTTGCACCAGGAGTTTGTAACCCAAACTCTGTGCCACAATCCGTATTTGTTGCCAACATTTCTGTTCCATAGTGAATTTCATGTTAATTCTTCGTTTCACAATTAGTATATAAGAAGCAACAATGTATTACCGCATTGTTTAACAAATGCAAACACTTCTTCATCTAAATCATATACTACCCAAACCACGTGCTTCTCAAATAAAAGTATTTATCACAAATCTTGGATAATAGGTGGGATCATGAGCACCTTTTAAATTTTTGTGAAAATGAATTGCGTCATCTTCATAAAGATAAATGGGAGATGGACCAACAAAGAATGGGTATGAGCACCTGAGCCCAAAACTTAGTCGGGACTGTAGTTACCAAAGGATTCGTTTTAGCTTAGTAACATACGTAATCGTTATTTCACACCGTAATTATCAATGATTTTCACGGCGTGAAAATATACGTGTTTCCGTAGTTTACTAATGGTATTTCATAGTGATATTTTGAAAACCATGGAAATATCAAAATTATACTACAAAAAATGCTATAAAATCATTAAAAATAGGAAATTCTTTTGAATATCATCGAAAAAAATTCGGGCATAGCATTGATAGTAATTAGTGTTTATGCTATTACTTGTTGAATTTGCAAGAATTGAAGATCTTGATACCTTGAATGACCGTTAACATCTTCCTGTATGAAGAATCTGAGCAACAGTTTTGTGGCCAGAATGATTTGTCAAGAGACCAGTTGGAAGCTCTACTTTAACAGATTTTTCAATTTCTTTCATAAGATTCGTTATTCTGTTAATACTACGATATGCCTTTTTATATCAAATATCAGTTTCACGCCAATATAGGTTCACATGTAAATAAAATTTTTTAGAAGCACTAATAAGACGTTTTGAAAGATACTTGCTAATACCATTAATTGATTTTGAATCTGGTATAAGATAAATATCTTGTGCAGAACCTTCTTCAATTCCACGTTGATTGTTTTTGCTACGACAATTGAGAAAAAGCAAATTGCCATCAGGTAATGTTTGACCAAAGTTGTAAAATTATTACGTCAAATTCACTGCCATTAAATCAAAAATGACGTAAGTAAAATTGCTTTAAAGGCTAATAAATATATAAGCTCACAAAAAACTTGTAAATATATATTCCAAGGTTCCCAGGGAGCCAAATTTTTCTTTTGCTGAATACAAATTCAATTCTCACCACACTCATTTATAACATGATACATGATCGGGAGATAAAATCATCATCGGGTCGACTAGTTTTAAGTGTAATTATTATTATTATCAAATGAAAATTTTTACGCAAAAGCTTGTGGAAGTTTTTATAATATCAATATTGATTGATTAAGTTACTTTGCAATAATAATCCCATCTTTATTTATCTTTATTCTTATTGTAGTGAACGACGAAAATTTCATTAAGGATAACTTCTGGTCCTCGCAGAGGAAAATAATAGATAATTGACATTCTGATAAAATAAAATTCTGTGATAGAATCATTATTTTATTAAATAAAAAACATTGTCTTTATTTTCTTTGTTTAAAGTGCTTTGATAAAAGCAATAAGTGTAATTAACAATTGTGGAGCTTGGGTAAAAAGCCACGTTTATTTGCTTTAGTGAGCAAATAAGCAAGGTTAGGTAAAACTAACGTTGTTGGTTAACTAGTGGGTATCAATGAAGTTATCATCCAAAGGTTAATCGGAAATACTGGTAATATTAT